TTTGAATCTTCATCTTTTGTTACATTTATATGAATACATGTGTGATTATAGGCCATTGTATATATTTTGGTGCTTTTCATTTGAGAGAATAAATAGTATATTAGGTAGATTTTTTAATAAATTTAATATTCAGAAGTAGAATTCTAACAAATTTTTTTGATCTAAATTTATTGTCTAATAGTCACTGAAATATAGAACCCGAATTAATGTAAAGATTGATGAATAATTGTCAAATTATTAATCTAATTATGTTCTATTCTAATAATTAAGAGCTTGAAATTTTAAATAATTAATCAAGTATTAGTTCAATTTCTGAATTAGATCAGTTTTTAGCTGACAAGTTATATTGATTTTTAAACTATACATATAATATTTATGAAACAATAATCAATAGATCAAAACATTTTTCAGGTAAACTTTTATATCTGAAAAAATCAAATTTAGAGGTATCTGTCAAAATATTATATTTATTAGTCAAATATTATAAGACATCCTATGAAACTATGAACTTTTAAAGACTATTTACAAAAGATATGAATATTTGATAATTATTTGAAATAGAACAGATCAATATGGTAGATATCAAATTGAAAGTGAAATATTCAATTCTGTTATATCCTCATAAAATATTAAGGACTTATTTATATTAGCTAGATTTGTAAATCACAATAGAAATGTTAATTTATATCTGAGACAAGTTCAATTCTTCTTTACACATTTGGTAAAACTTTTTGAATAATGTTATTGAACATCGATTAGTCTTTATTCAATAGTACAAACCAGTTAATTTAATAGAAAATAGATTTTATTTCAGATCTGAAAATAACATAAATGTTGAATTGTGGAATATCAAATTTTATCCAATTAAATGTGAATACCTAATCCTTATTCATAATATTTTTTATTAATTTATTCCATTTAGATATAGAATCTCAAATCGACAAGACTCTCACAAATATTTAACTGTAATTTTTCTAAATTATAAATATAATATATAATTAAAAATTTGATAAATGTGTTAATTTTGATAAATGTCTAATGATTTTTTAAAAAAAATTTTAATGAAATATATAATAAAAATGATGAAAATTATATGATAAATAATACTGAATTATATAGTAGAAATTGATTGACAATTTATGTAGTAAAATTAATTAACAATTTATAATATTTATACTAAATTATATGATATAAATTGATTGATGATTTATTTATATCATTAATATACTAAATTATTTATTTTTTTTTTATGAATATTAAATGAGTAATATTATATTGAATAAATATTTTTCAACTAGTGACAGTTAATCTAGCTAGATCTATTATTACTCTGAGAGTGGATATATCTAGTTAGTGACCAGATAATTAATATACAGTTATCAATGATAATATTAGATTAGTTTAGTATAAAGTTATAAAATATTTTATTTATATTATTTCATTAAACTTAATTCTTTTTGTATATACTTAATGGAATATATATTATCTTCCAATATTTTTAGATATTATTTGATCAGATCTCAGAAAAAGGTATATTACTTTCTTTGTTATTACTTGTAGCATTAAATCAGTTCCTATTAATTGATTTTAAATTAAGCAAAACATTAGATTGGAATATCCTGAGCTAGGAAAGTGTGTGTCCTGGAGGCTACCAGGGTAAAGGAATTCTGGAACATTTATAGGAGATTAGATCAGAAGCCTTTCTTCATATAATCCTTTTAATAGTATGACTTTAGATTTCAGTCTCTAATAGATGGAAGGTCAAAAGTCCCATTTTCATATAACTTAATCCAATTTTAAGCTAATTCCAGATAATTGGATATGACTTTTATAGGATAACTGGTAAACCTAATCAGAAGAATAATTTTTTATTTGGTTCTTAAGTAATATTGAATTACAAACCTTGTGATTGTAACCTGGGAGCACTATATTGATCCATAGATCAATAATAATATGATATATTAATTTTATTTTTTTAATTAGGTTTATCAAATAATAAAAAAATTTTATTGAATAAAAATTAGAATTGGTTTGCTTCCATTTTGATCAAGTTCTATTTCAATCAAATAAACTTTCTAGACTAATTCCTTTAAATTGATTAAAATTTTTTAAAAATCTATTTCTTAAAATAATATAATATTTCAAAACTAAATTTTATTTTTGCTAAAATTATTGTTTATTTTTATTGTATTCAATAAATTAGATACAGTATATAATTAAATATAAAATTAAAAATGGTTAGACGTATAGTTATGGTATTTATTTAAAGTAAGGATTCGATAAATTGATGGTACTAGTCCGGATCTAGGATGAATTTAACAAACTTTAATTACTATTAATGAAGATGATGATAATGTGCCAGATGGTCGGCATTGTAATTGGTAATGCTGGGGTCGGAAAGATGGAAGGTATCTAGATACAATACGATTAAAAAAAGGTTAATGCCTTTATGCTGCAATAAGTCGAAGATAAAGAGATAAGCAAAGTCACTTACTGTTATTACTAATTGCACCAATAACAAACAATAGATAAATAATTGTGAGAAAATAGGTTAATAACGAAAAATTCATAATAGTTATTATTCATTCACAAACCTATTTAGTTTCAAAGTAATGGCATCCAAATCCAAATTAAGGTAGTCTTTTATGAATTCGCCAATGTAAGTGTTCTGCAATTAATTTAATGTTAAAATAAATTTTCAGAAAAGTGTATCAATAATAATAAGGTATACCTCATGATTCCCGCGTAACATCTCGGAATTATCTCCGTGAGCATAAAGGTTCACGTCAACGCTCGAGTGACCATGTGTTGCCCACTAAAATTAAGAGCCCTCAGCACGTGATAAAATAAGGAGATAACCACCAAATAAGAAGTCTAATTAATTACCCCTAACTGAGCTCTCCAACTGGTTAAATTAGCTAGATAATATTCGTAAGCTTGATTCGTTTGATTTTTATTCAAAAAGGCTACTTCTTCATCGGTGAAATCATCAATTCCCAAACTTCCACGAAGTACAGTTTCATTTATGAACTTTAATCGGTCATCCTTCCAGTAATTGCTTAGTTGAACTGCAAGCGCATATGAAGAATTCTTGATACGACTTATCACATCCGGATACCTAAGAAAATAAACGTATTATAAATGGTCCAACTTCTTCAATTAAGGGAAAATAAAAAGTATCCTACCACAAGTATTCTGGATAACTAGCATTAATTTGACGGGCTAGAGACAGACCGCCGGTCTCATGATCGCTGACCTAATTGTCATCGTTGGTTAAAGCTCATCTAACGTTGGGAGGATCGACTTTAAAAAAAAAAAAAAAACATCGTACCGAGATCACAACAGTACCAGGATGATTATCAACGTAATTACGAACAGCCTCAACTGTTTGATGATAAGCCAGAATTTCATGAACATGGGTACCTGGATCGTTCCTGTAATCGAATGTTGTTATTGAATAATCTTGAATTTCTTCCAAACTTCGATTAAATATTACTTACGAATGTGCGGCCATATCTGGATCAGGCAAATAAAGACGTAACAATTAAAGATTATCATCAAAAGTTACAAAAGCGAAACTCAAGAAAAACAAAAGACACGTATATTTACCAATTCGACTTCCTTCTATCATTAGGAAAAATCCCTTATCGCTATTTGCGGTCAGAGATTCAAGGATTCCAATAGCCTTTTCAGACATCTCCCTTAAGGACGGTTCTTCGGTGGCATCACGATCTATCTCGTAAGACATATGCTGGGGAAAACAAGGTGATACTTGTGTATATAAAGGGTTTATGTTTTAACGGAAGGCGAATTTGAATATGAATCGCGAAAAATCATTTACGTCAAGAGTGAATAAGCCAAGTAGTGGGGTACTATGTATGGTTGATCAAACAATAGATTGTTAATCATGCATATTAATATTTGGGTGTATACTTCGATAGAATGCTGCTACCTTTGCGAGTTGGTTTCGAGTTTATCGAATTCTTCACGAGTGGATAGGTAATGAAACCCGAGCTTCTTGGCTTCTGACAACACGTCTCTCGTATCAGGTCTACAGCTGCCCTCACTAGAATTCGGCAAGAAATAACATCTTCCACCGCCAAACATTAAATCGACATTTCTTCCCAAAGGATAATCCCCAATCTGTTGCGTGGCAATATTGTATTCCAAGTTTCTCGAAACGACATGAGCAGAAAATGAAGCTGGCGTTGCATGAGTGATTCTACTTGTTACCACCAGTCCCGTTACCATTCCAATTTCTTTTGCCGCTTCAAGGATAGTGCCACATGGAGATCCTTCGGGATTCACTACGATTTATCGAATATCAAGAAACATCAATATCGGATGTCATTGTTACTTCCTGAAATGCACATATATTGAAATGAGACCTCCAATAGCTCCGTTGTACGTTTTCATGATGCAAGAAAAAGCCGTCGCACCGGCGGCAGAATCGGTGACCAGACTATTAGAAGATCTGGTCCTAGACGAACCAACGAGTATTTTGTCCAACGGGGTAACATAGTTGTACGGCAAATCGTTGACATACTGATAATAATCGCGAGCGAATGTTTCTGATGCGGGTCCGAAACCATCCGAAATCATTAATATTACATTCCGCTTTGTCGGTAATCCTTGAAAGTCAAGAGGACGGTGTAAGTTTCGGTCACGTGACAGAGAACTCCGTGAAATAACTTACCATAGCTTACTTCAGTCCATACTGCGATGACTCCTATCGCTATGAGAGAAATAAAAACTGCGCCAAGAAACACTAATATCAAATTCCTCCTTGCCTGAAAAAGAAAAAAAAATCGGCGGGAAATGAGAAATTCAAAGAAACCATAGTCAATTGGTTAGCACAACTGGTCATAGAACGGTCATCACGAACCTTTCTTTGTTCCGGTCCAGGGCTAGATAATAAGCCGGCAGTTTCTTCTGGATCATAATTAGTGTTCTGGTAGCTTCCCATTTCAGAAGGTTGTCGGAGAAAGGAAAAAAAACGAAAATCCCCCAATTTTTTTTTTTTTTGATATTTATTACATTTTTGACATCATAAATTTTATATTTGTATTTTTAAAGAAAGGTCAAATTTCGTATGAGGATAAATAATTTACAGTTGTCCACATGACCTGTGACTAATTGCATAGTCATTCGTTTCCACGTTTTTCTCATTCAATTTACAACAGTGAGCGGCCTTTTATGGTTAGATCACCCAGGGGGCTGGGCACGAGGTTTGTTCATCATTACGCAAGCAATGAAGTTACACAACAATATGCGGTGTGCAAAGTTTGAATCGAGGATCCAAGAATGTTTTGCCAGACGACCTTCAAAGGTGCTAGATTGATTACACCTTCCATCAGTTCGCTGTTTTCTCGTTCGACCGTAACTCGATGCCTTTCGTCGAGCAACAATAAGAGCAGTTTGCCACCTTCAATTTCTCAACAAGACGGGAAAATCGAGTTATCACCGATCTCACGTCCCAACGAAACAATCCTTCAAAAACGATCGAGATTAATTTATCAATCACGCAAAAGAGGAATTCTAGAGACCGATCTGATCCTTTCGACCTTTGCGAAAAAGTATTTGCATGAATTTTCCGAGCGAGAGTTACAAGAGTACGATGAATTATTGAATTTTCCAGATTGGGATATATACTATTTTGTCACCGAGAAGAAACCTGTTCCAAAACGATGGCTAAATAGCGATATTTTTAAAAAGCTGCATCAACACGCAAAGAATGAAGGAAGGTCCATTCTGAGAATGCCCGACCTGTAACGTTTGTTATTTCGAACGAGCACTCAAACACCTGCCGTATTCTTTACATCGCCGTGACGAGATCATATTCAATCAGTTTGAATGTAGCAAAAAAAAAAAAAAAGGGGGGGAGGTTCCAAAAGAGTCATTCATACTAGGATACATTAATGATAATAAATTTTTACATGAAAATTTTCAATTTGTTTATTTTGACTTACACTGCTTTCAATTTTTACCATCCCTATGACCAACCGAAGGAAAGCCTCCAAACTCAGCCACCTGATTTTGTAAATTTATAGAAGCCCTATTAACATTAGTGGTGGGCACTCGAATGTCGGATGTTACCGATGGTGATACGACGGAACCTTGAGCTACCATGGCATTTTCAGTGATGGAATTGGAATTGGATGATACACTTCCCGCGAGGGCGTTTGTTTGTAGTGTTCCTCCGATAGGTTGTATTGACGATGGAATTGCACCCACAGATTGTATTTGCTGATAATGTAAACCGTAAATCGGATTTTGCATTCCCTGCTCGATTAATAGTTGCGTTATCATGTGTGAGGGCATCGTATTCGTCATCATCTGAATGGGTTGTTGTGATTGAAGGGTCTGTTGAGGTCTCATTAAATGCTGCATTCCGGTGTACGAAGAAATTTGTCCCGCGTGAGGTTGGATCAAGAAAGAATTAGCAACCGTTTGGCGCAATTGAAGCGCGCGTGGATTGGCGATTGACGAGTATAGTTGTGAGTTTGTCAATACTTGCGTCTGCTGTTGAGAAAATGACTGCACATATTGATTCGTCGGTTGGGCTGCTTGCTGTTGTAATTGTAATTGTCGTTCACCAGGTATTATTGAGTTGACCGTGGATTGTTGTGAAGGACTCTTTGAAATTGAGGTTGCATTTGTTCGCATGTCCGATGACGGGACAACACTACTCGACCCGCTCGACATGTCTCCTTCTAATTGAGAAGGAACTACTTTTGGCGATTTTATTGCGGATCCGTTTATAGAGGACGACGCCGGCGCACCTGCTACATTAGTTTCTGAAACTATTCTCGTAAGGGGACGTGTGCCTTTCTTAAGATAGTTACTTACGAGACAAGAAAACATTCAACTGGTTTACCTTCGTCGTCGTCGTCAAGAAGGTGCACAATCCTTGGTTTAGAGTTATCGACGTGATTTTCTATATGTTTCCAAAGATGGATCATGGATTCGAAACTCTCCGAACAGTTTCCCCACTTACAAGTATATGCTGATGTCATGTTATGTTAAACGGTAGGAGACGACGCAAACGTTGGGTATCGCGAAAGCATAAGTTTTCCAAAGTTTTCGATCTGATTCGACTTGATTAAGATTCGGACTTGTAACTAAGTCATGTGATCCTATGCACTTAATTTAGTGAACAATGATTTTACATTCGCACGTGAGTAGAACGATAATCGTCCTCTTTTTTTTTTTTTTTTCACCTCGGAATGGCAAGACGGGTATATTTTATTTTTAATTGCTTCCCTTTCGAATCTCTCCCTATGCCAACACATTTTTTTTTTTTCCTATGACAATAGAGAAAGAGGAGAACCCACGTTCCGTTGGATGAAAGTGCAACTCCCAATGCACCAAAAATTCCAAAAAGCTTTGTCTTTAAATCAGGCAAAGTTGGGAATTCCGTGACCAACCTGGTTCGAGATATGCGCAAAGTCATGGAGCCACATACTGCTATAAAATTGAGAGTAAGAGAGTTAGTTTAATTTTTGAACGGTTTTCAATTCAAAATTTTTATAATGAAAATCAGAACACGCGTTTCTACCGTTTCAACTTTCAACTCTTAGGAACGTAAAAGTAATAGATTAAAAGATTTTGTAGCGGTATCAGGTCAATTAGGGATAACTCATTTCTTAATATTTACGCAAACGGAAAATGGTACCAATTTCAGGTTGGCAAGAACGCCGAGGGGACCTACGTTATGCTTCAAGGTCTTGAGGTATTCGTTGATAAGGGATGTTTTATCTGCGCAGATTAACCCCCAAAGCTTAAACTCCGAGTTCAGGACTCCACCATTGGTCGGTGTCTCCATCAATCTTTGTGTCCAGCAGATGAATTTAATGTTAATCGTTATTTCTCGTACAGCTCGTATTAAATAATTTTGGTAAAGAGGAAAAACATCTAGAGTTAATGTCAAGCATGTTCCAAGGCATGTTTCCTTCAATCAATGTTAACAACGTAGGTCCCTAAAAGTCAATACCTCCCTTTACTATATTTACAAAGTCAATTAACCCCAAATTGTGATCAAAATTCATTATGTGAAAGATGCGTTTGGCTGATGCGCGAAGGGTCGTTCTGTTGAATTACAATTCTGATACAAAACACATCGATTTCAGGCATTACAGCATCGGAGTGAAGCCTGTTGGTATAAGCAAAAGTGTTAGGCGGGTGGTTACAGATCACATACCAGATTTACATAATTATGAGGACATTAGTGAATATGTGTTAAGGTTTCTATTCAATCATCACATTTAGTTTAAGTAAGTGTGTCTATCTCATTTTACCTTATCCTCATTGCTTTCCAGGGAGAGGCGCGTATCGGATAGCGAAGCGGAGAGTAGTGCGGGGGAGACTGTCACACTAGCACAGGATTTTATTGGCAGGGCTAACAAAAAATTCGACCAGCGCGCAATAAAATTATCTGAGATAGGACCACGCATGGAATTGCAATTGGTAAAAATTCAGAATGGTCTGTGTGATGGAGAAGTGTTGTACCATGAATTTGGTAAGTTCTTGTCGACTCCGAGTACTAGAAAACAAGTGGATATCGTGCGTTAACCAGTTTTATGAATTTAATCATGTAGTGCACAAAACGCCAGAGGAAATTAAGAAAATGACGCAAGAACGTGAACGACGAACACAACAAGCTGCCTTGAGGCGTAAAGAGCAAGAGCGAAATGTTGAACGAAAAAAGTTGGAGAAAGAAGCTCAACGTATTGCTTCAATAAAAGGTTCGTTTTTTAATTAAGGGTGATATGAGAGATGATAATTAGTGTAGGTCAGGAGTACCTGATGCGATATATCATATCACGAATAGGTAATCAGGCAAGGACACAGGATGAACAAGAAACTGAAGAAGTTGACGACGAAGAAGAGAAATATGCAAAAGAATATGATGAAGATGATTATGATTTAGAAAATGAATTTTCCGACTTAGAACAGGGAGTCGATATAGTTGGAGATCAACGATCGACCAACGACGAAGAGGACGATGTTTTTAACGAGAATTTGGATGAAGAGGATGATATATTATTTAAAGATAATTTTGATGAAGAAGATGATGCATTGCTTGATAAGGATTCTGATGAAGGTGGAGATATGTTATTTGAAGAAAACTCTGATGAAAGGGATGAAAACTTTGAAGAGGATGGAAAAAGTGAATCTAGTTCAGAAGAGGAACATTCTATTAAACCGAGGAAGCTTTTAAAATCGCGTAGTAAAGAACGGCAGCCATTAAAAAATAGTGTTGATAAAATCCTTCGTCAAGATACAACAAGTGATTTCGCAAAAAGTAGTAAGAGTAATTCGCGTCAACAAAAGAAAGATTCAATGAGAGACGGGCCAAAGAAGAGCATAAAAGTAAGCATGGTAACAGATAAGAAACGAAAAAGAAAATAAGTAACTTTTACTGTTCAAGAAAGTTTTTGTAATTTTGATTAAAAATAAACAAAAATAGCATCTGCATAGATTATTGATCTTTTAAAATATTTAAGATGCACAAATGTTCAAGGTAATCCTAACAGAATGAATTGATTTATCATATTTTGTAACTTAACTGATGTTTTAAATCCTTGAGAAACCGTGATATTTATCACTTTCGGATTTAATTGACACCATTTGAAGATATTTTTTTTTAAAAAAAAAATCAAAAATCAAAAAATTTAATATGCAAATAAATATACAGTATATGTATATTAAGGATTATAATAAAACTTTAGAATTATTAAAGCTTTTAAAAACTACCGATAAATAATTACTGTAATCCAATTTATTTTATTCATAGTTTACATTAAAGAAAAAAGTTTTAGTACTATATTACTGTTTTGTTATAGATAAAAAAAGTAACTTAATCTTTTTTTATATAAAAAGCATTGTAAATAAAAGAGGGGAAATAAATATAACTTAAGATTTTTTTTAAAGTTGTTTAAAGAAAGCATCAAGATTTTGTTAGTTAAAAAGTATAAAAATTTTCTATAAATATTTTTTATTAAATTTTTCAAATCCTTTTTCATATATTTTTTTACTTTATTTTTATAATGTAATAATAATAATAATAATAATAATAATAATAATAATAATAATAATAATAATAATAATAATAATAATAATAATTAATTAATTAATTAATTAATTAATTAAAGAAAAATAAAATATAAAAACAGAAAATTTTTATTATATCATTTTTACTTTACAATTTTTATCTCAACATATAATAATTTTTAATTATTTATTATTACTTATATAATTTATTTAGTAATTATATAAAATAGGTATTAACTATAAGGTAAGATCTTATCTATAATATTTTTTCAATATCTATAAAAAATAAGTAGTTAATAAAAATATAATATATAGGTGCAATATATCTATTACCAATAAAAATATTTTATATAAATAAAAAATTATTTAATATAAATATTCCCATACAATTTTTTCATAATAATAATATATTAAATGTATACAATAATAAAATATCATTCCCTAAATTGCATCTAGAGAAATAGTTTTTCAATTATGGGTGAATTAGTATGTAAAAGTTCAAATATTTTGTAAATATCTTTTATATATACAATAAAAACAACCTGACTGCGAGTTAATAAAAAAAATGTATACATATATACAATAATTTAAGAAAATTATAATCCATATCTGAACAAAATAATTTTTTTTAACACTCTGTCAGGCTAGTTATGTGTGCTTTATTAAACAATTGTAAGTTATATATTATATATGTGTCGCTAAAGCTAAATCTCTAATTAACTCACTTATCAAAGTCTATTTATCTAGGACTCTAAGTGCAACTTCAGGAGTGATTTATCACTCCGTTAGTAGTTCAGGTGGAAACCCTTCCAACTTCTAATATCATCACCCGCAGGTTACTACTGCAGATCATTACACGATGTTCTGACAAAGATCAAAACCCCAACCACTTCATCACATATTTAATTTCATTTTTTATAATTTCTATCAGATTTTTGTTTTCTCTCTCTTTCATTTCTTCTCTTTACTTTGTACTTTTATGATTAGGATTGTCTTGTGAGTTCTGCCTTCTTGTTTCCTGGGCCTTCTTATATTTTGTTCTTCTATTAATTCTTTGCTCTTGTTCCCATTCTATAATCTTTCTACATCTCACATTCCAGACTTGTTTTTGGATCTAATTGCAAATCTTTTTTTGTACTTTTAGAATCCATTTTTTTGCCATTTTTTCCAGCTTC